CAGCACCGCCGAGTTCCAGCGACCCTGCCGGCGCTCATCCAAGCACGGAAGCGCAGGTAATGTAGGGGCCCAAATAATTGCTACTATTTTGGGGGGTTCCATATTGTCATTATAGTATAACATACCCTCAAAACCCGATTCTAATTATCAAGGCTTCTACATTATGGTGTAGGGTTTATGGTTCAGGACTAGCGGTTCGGGCACGTATTACACATGTCGTGACTCTTATGCATCAAACAGCCCATGATTTACTGAGTTCTCCAATACCCAACCTTTAAACTTTTGGGGTTCCTATAATTTAGTAGTAATCTGAAAGTTTAATCTTTTCTTTCCCTGGCTTATTGGGGAAGTTTTTTATGTCTACCGCAAGGCATGAAACCCTCCAGCCCTAAACCCCGAACCCCTTCGAGACACCTTGTGGAAACCCGTCTTGAGTCTTCAGAACCCAAAAAGAAACCTTGTAGAACGAACCCCTACCCCCTTTCCCCTAAACCCTAAAAGCCCTAAACCCTAAACCCTAAAAGCCTTAAGAGCCCTAAACCCTAAAAGCCCCAAAACACCCTAAACCCTAAACCCGAAACTTTGCGGGTCCCCACGATGCTCACTCACATCATAGGGTTTAGGGGTTTAGGGTTTAGGGTTTAGGGCATGTCTTACGACCTTTCCGTGATGCTCCGTGCTTTTGGCCCGGCCTCCACCACCATCGACAGAAGAGCCTTTTGCTGCAGGGCTCCTAAGTTGGCTGTAGGATTGGTTGAGTGATTGTTGCGTTTAATGTAGGGGCCCTAATAATAAGAATAGGGTTTTGGGGTGTAGTATACTAAAATCTTAATAAGGAGCCCCAAGCCTTATTCTAATTATTAAGGCCCCTACATTAGGGTTTCTACGGTTTAGGATCTCAGGTTTTCGAGGATGTGATAAAGGTTTATAGGGCGTAGGGCTTTGAATATCTGGGGTTTGGGTGCCTCTTTTGATGACAAGTTGGCTGCTTCTCCAACGCAGATTGGGTGTAAAGAAGGTTTACGGTTTAAAACCCTAAACCCTAAACAGGCCCTAAACCCTAAACCCTTTAGGGTGTAGGACCTGCCAACCTGTCAAAAAGGCAGGCATAAGGAAGATCTCCGTCCCGGGCTCAATATACGGGTCCCTAAACCCTAAACCCTAAACCCTAAACCCTAAACCCTAAACCCTAAACCCTAAACCCTAAACCCTAAACCCTAAACCCTAAACCTTCCCTATATCATGACACGGCAATCTGATGTTAGGGGCCTTAACCATCAGATTAGAGTTTTGGGGGTTGCTTATTATAATTCTAGCATAATGGGCCCCGAAACCTTATTCTAGTTATTCAGGCCCCTATGTTACCGCAATATCCTATTCTAATTTTCAAGGACCCCGAGCCTTCCACCTATATGGGAGCTTCCGAAAATAGGGGCTACCTTATCTTAGGGTCCTTATAATAAGGATCCTACTATTTAGGGTACTATATTAGGGTCCCCTATTTCCGGAAACCCCCATATGGTCCTGTCACCCTGAAGGATGAGGGTACGAAGCCATCTTGTTTAGGGCTTCGGATTCAGGGTTTAGGGTTTAGGGTTTAGGGTTTAGGGTTTAGGGTTTAGGGTTTAGGGTTTAGGGTTTAGGGTTTAGGCCAGGGCTTCTGGTGTAGAGGCAGCCATTGGGCCAAAATTCCATAGGGGCCCTGCCCAACTAGGGTAGTTGGGAACCCAACTCCAGGCAACCTCGTCCCATGGCCCTTCGGGGTTGAGGGGTTTAGGGGTTTAGGGTTTAGGGTTTAGGGGTTGAGGCTTGGGTCGGATGGTGGGTTTTATACGGGCTTAGAGTACGACAAAGGCATGCGGTCAGCGATCATCAAGTTGCAACCTACCCTGATCCATATTCAATGATGCCCGTAACCGTGAACGCACAATACAAGGATCGGACCAGTAGATACCCTAAGCCGTAAACCCTAAACCGGGTTCCCTATTATGGTTTTGCTACAGCACCACGTACCACCGAAACCTTGTTCTTATCCAGAGCAGTCCCCAGTCAATTCCTGCACCTCTATAGAACCTTTTATAGAACCCTTACAGAAACGCAAGCCTTACAGAAACGCAAAGGAACCCTGAACACTTATGAACAAGCCCAATCGATCGTATCATTCTGAAAGCCTCTAAACCTAAACCCCAAACCCAAAACCCCAAACCCTGAACCCTAAACCCCCTAAGAAATCCCAGCTTCAACCGTAAACCCTAAACCCTAAACCCCCAAACCCTGAACCCTGAACCCCTAACCCCTAAACCCTAAACCCTAAACCTCCTAAACCCTTAAACCCTAAACCCCTCAACCCTAATCCCTATCCCTGAACCTGAGGGGTTCAGGGCTTGAAGAAATCCCAGCTTCAACCGTAAACCCTAAACCCTAAACCCCTAAACCCCCTAAACCCCTAAACCCCTAAACCCTAAACCCCTAAACCCCTAAACCCTCTAAGAAATCCCAGCTTCAACCGAAGTTTGGCCCAGGCGCTCCTCTTCGAAAGAGCAGGAAGCCAGCAGCTTCCTCATGTGTTGCGCTTGTGTCGGGATGGTTAGGGGTTTAGGGGTTTAGGGGTTTAGGGGTTTAGGGGTTTAGGGGTTTAGGGTTTAGGGTTTAGGGGTTTTAGGTTTAGGGATTTAGGGATTTAGGGTTTAGGGTTTAGGGTTTAGGGATTTAGGGGTTTAGGGATTTAGGGGTTTAGGGTTTAGGGGTTTAGGAGGTTTAGGGTTTGGGGTTTAGGGTTTAGGGTGAACCCCGGAAAGTTGGAACATGGATTTAGGATGATTACTGCTGGGATTGCCTATACTTTACCTTAAGGACATGAGGATACTGATGTTCCAACTTTCTGGCTTCTACAGTAGGGTTTGGGGGTTTGGGGTTTGCGGGGTTTGGGGTTTGCGATATAGGGTTTTAGGGATTTGGGGTTCAGGGGTGTAGGGTTCCTTCAAAGGATCGATAGGGGTTCTATAGAGTTTAGGGTTTGGGGTTTGGTTTAATCTGGCATTTATGTTTAGGGTCTAGCGGTCGGGGCTTAGGGCTGAGGAGTATTTTTTGTAGTATCCCTTGCAGTATTACCGTAACCCTCACCCCCCCCCATGTTTTCTTAACCCTGACAGTAGCCTTTGTAGCAACCTTATAGTAGTCATCGTAGAACTCTTAACTTACCATCCCTACAATTTGGGGTGAGGGGGCCGGGTTCTGAGACCACTTCCTCCGGCTACGTATCCTTAAACCTACGCCCTCACCCCCGGACCCTAAACCGTCACTTGCAGCAGGAGGAAGCATTAGGTGACTCCAAGAACAAAGAGCCCAACACCCCGTCAATACTAAACGAATAATTAACGAAGATATGGCCTACATTCTACATGATAAGGGGCGATTAATATGATGATTTAAGGCGTATATATGGAGGTTTAGGGACAGTAAGATAGTACCCTAAATACTCGGATCCTTATGATAAGGACAAAAAAACTAAGGTACCCCTTATTTTCGGAAACTCCCATATGGGTAGTTCTCTAAATTAGGGTCCCATTTTAGGTCCCCAATATAGTACGGCACCCTTATAAAAAGGATCCCAAAAGGGACCCTAATTTAGAAAACTACCCATATGCAGTAGTTAAGTGGTATTGGGCTCCCTGGTAACTTTGGAGGCGGGGAACCTCGAAGGTTCCACCCTACAGCTTCTTCGGATTAGGGCTTTAGGGGTTTAGGGGTTTAGAGGTTTAGGAGTTTGGGTTTTAGGGTTTAGGGTTTAGGGTTTAGGGCTTTAGGGTTTAGGGTTTAGGGTTTAGGGGTTGAGGGGTTTGGGGTTTAGGGGAGTCGAACTCCCACGGTAGATCTCAACGGCTTAGCTGCTCCACTTCTCAGTCTTGCGTGAACCACCGGGTGCCTTGAACTTCAGTTTCGCCACAGCCAACGTGTTCAGAGCACGATTTTTCGGATCAGCTCCGTGGGTCCGAGGCGCTGCTCCTTCGTCACCGTACTGTTGCCACGCTCTCAATGCGATGACGAGAAACCCTCAACCCTTAACCCCAAGCCCTGAACCCTAAACCCTAAACTCCTTGACCCTAATCCCTATCCCTGAACCTGGGGGGTTCAGGGCTTGGGGTTGGGGGTGCTTGTCGATGGCATATATGAGTAGTTCTCTAAATTATGGTCCCGTTTTAGGTCCCCAATATAGTACGGCACCCTTATAAGAAGGACCCTAAAAGGGACCCTAATTTAGAGAGCTACCCACATGCCAACCAAGAGCTTTCAACGTCGGAGTTGAAGCCGCTGTGGCCCCAACATGCCCTTAAAGGAACCCTGAAAGGTTCCTTCAAAGGATCCCTTAAAGGAAACCCCAAGGGTTTCTTTTGGGGTTTAGGGCTTTTGGTGGTTTAGGGTTGAGGGTTTCTTTTGGGGTTTAGGGTTTGTGTAGTATGATACTACTTTATGCTATCCTCTAACCCAATCTACTACTATATACTCACTTCAATTTAATACTTGCAGCCCTATGGCCCCAGGCAGGCTTTTAAGGGTGTGGAATTTAACAAATAGTAGGGTAGGTAACCTTGAGCCGGGGCTGCTACAGTCTCGCTTTACCCCTTAGTTGCCCTGGGAACGAAGCCCCGATCAACGCCCCTGCATGGATGACGGCGACCTCGCTGCCGACGGCCGCCCCAGCGGTGCTACCGAGGAGGCTTCATCAGCCCGTGATCCAGTAAAGGGTGTACGAATTTAGGGCTTGGGGTGCCACTATTCAGGCCCTATCTTCAGAAACGTGCTTTTTGATCATTTGCAGTTTCTGGATATTTGTCGTGATGCCACGCAGGTACAGTAATTTTGGCATTGCTAGCATGTTTGTTTTGGAGTTGTGTTCACCTTTAAACTGCCATGCATGTCCTTGCAACATCATATGCTTGGCTCCTAAACTCTTGCCCTCAACCCCAGACCCTTAAACCGTTCTTCCTTTCCTGTGCAAGGTCCGCTGCAGCCGTGACCCGGGCATACCCTGGGAGGTGGGGGTTTCCGAAAACAGGGGACCCAAATATAGTACCCTAAATAATAGGTTCCTTATTATAAGGACCCCAAAATAAGGTACCCCAATTTTCGGAAAGTCCCAGGTGTGGCGGGAGAAGCCGAAGTTGGCGCGAGCAGTCTGCAAGGTGGAGGGCTCTGTGGATTTCCTGCGGCTTCTGCGGAGAAAGCTGGTGGAGACGGACATCTACCACCACTCTGCTGCTGTTCAGGCAACCGGTCGGCAGCGCAAGTGGCAGAATGCAGTGTATCTGCTTCGCAGTATTCCGGAATTCACCCTTCAGCCCAGTCCGGTTAGCTACTAGGCAGGCCTCTGGGAGAGTTTATCTGAGTTTATCTTTCCCCTTATTTGCGCCTAAGAGGATCTGCTTTACCTCTTTTTGTCCTTTGTTTTAGAGGGCCCCCTAAACCCTAAACCCTAAACCCTAAACTCAACCTAGGCTACAGCAATGGCCTCAACTCTTGCTCAGAGCGGTGGGCCTTGGCGCTGGGCCTCTTACGGACGATGCAAGGTCGCTTCATGGAGGCTGATGCTTTCATCTATGGAGCTGCCAGCAACTCGTCCATCCGTGCGTAGCATTTTTAACGGCTTAGGGTGTAGGTTTGGGGTCTAGTATCCCAAAGCTTAACCTAGCTTTCAATTCCACTTTCGGATGCTGGAGAAGTGACCCAAACCCCCCAGGTACCTACTATATAGGGTACTAGAGCCCCTAGGGCCCTATATAGTAGGTACCTGGGGGTTTAGGGTGAGGCAATGCTTGTGAGAAATGTGGTGCTTGGCAGACAGCCCTGGGCTTCGCGCTGCAGATGTCGGAGAAGCGGATCCTTCCCAACATTGTCACTTCTAGCAGCGCCTGGGCTCTTGTAAAGGAATTTAACTTAAGGTACCATATAATCGGGATCCATGGTAAATAATATGGTTTCCGGATTATAATTTAAGGTACCATAATAGGGATTCATGATAAATAATATGGTTTCCTTCTTATACCAACTTAAATTAAATCCCTTCGCAAGAACCCAGGTGCGTTGTGTGCATGCAGAGAAGGACATCAATGGCTTCTTGCCGTTGACCTGCTCGGAAACCTACGGCGTCTGGGCATCGCGCTGGATGTGGTTGCTCATGGCAGTGCGGTCGGGGCATGCCAGGCAGCATGGGAACAGGCAAGAAGTGGAACAGGGTTTTGGGGGTTCCTTTAAAGGGCTCCTTAAAGGGTTCTATAAGGGCTACTATAAGGGTTTAGGGTTTAGGGGCCTTAATAAGTAGAACAGGCGTTCCTGCTCCGTCCTGAGTCTCTGGGCGAAGCGCGGCTGGCATCGAACATCATCAGCTACAGTGCATTGCTCCAGTCATGCAGTGAATCTTCGGAATGGTCCCAAAGCCTAAACATCCTCCGATCCCTGAAGACCACTGCGACTCGACATGACACGGTGGCTTTAACTTCTGTTATCAGCGCCTGTGAAACCGAAGGAAGATGGAAGCAAGCATTCCAGGTTTCTTGCGGCATAGCACAGGGGGGGCTCCAACGAGACCTCCTGAGCCTTGCGGCAACATGCGCTTCAATCCCGTCTCATTGGGCGAAGGCCCTGATGCTCCACAGTGACTGGCATGCGGATGATCCGGACCAAGCTCTGCTGTTCCTTAGTTCTCCAATACCCAACCTGTAAACTTGTTCCTTTTTTGGGTTCTTATAAGTTTAGTAGTAGTCTGAAAGTTTAACCTACTTTTATTTCCCTGGATTATTGGGGAAGTCAGGTTCAGTGTGCTCAAAGTTTGCAAGCGGCCTGGCCAGTGGCAGGTGGCTCTGGGATTTTGGGCGAAGGCGCGAAAGAAGGCTCTGGCACTCACGAACCTTGTCATCGGCTCCTGTGAGGCTCGTGGCCAGTGGCAAGTAGCTTCTAGGTTCCCCAATAGTACCCTTTTGTCCTTTTTGTTTTCGGGGGTGCCTTATTAAACCCAAATGAGTAGGAAAAAGGGTGCCCTTATTGTTAGTGGTCTACTGGGGAACCTAGGCTTGCTGCTTCTTGGATTGGATCTTGGATGAGGACAAACAGAGCCTGGACATCGTGACTTGCACGAGCATCCTAAGCGTTTGCGAAGTCAGGGGCCGCTGGAAGCAGGTGGGAGTTTCCGAAAATAAGGGGTACCTTATTTAGGGGTCATTATAATAAGGATCCTACTTGGAGGTTCATGGGTGGTTGTAAGTGAAGTTATAAGTCCCTCAATATAGGTTATAACTACAGTTACCCTACTTATAACCTTGCTTATAACTACCCATGAACCTCCAAGTACTGTTTAGGGTACTATAATAGGGTCCCTATTTTCGGAAACCCCCAGGTTCTGCGGACATTGGAGCTCATGCCAAAGGTCCGTGTTGTGGCAAACCAGATCCTTCGTAGCTGAGTAGGTAACGTTTTACCATTCGTGGGTTTAAATAAATATATATATATATATATGATATATATGTGTGTGTATATATATATATATATTATATATGGGGGCTGTCCTAAAACCG